AACTAGTGACTACTGTTTCTTGACATATCTGAAGTATAGTACAGTGTGGTATGCAGTTGGAGTAAAACAAATATATATGCTAGAGTCAGATCAAACAGATCCATCTCATGATGGGCAAAAGTTTGTTGTCACACTATGTGGAAGCCAAAGCCAACATGGTACTGGTATCCCACGTATCCCAGTGTGAGGTATGTCACAATACCAACATTTTAAACTACAATACAATATTAGTATGAAAGAAAATGATACTCGATACCTTGTTTCATACCACAGCTAAAAGATAAAATGTCCTAGGCAATAGACACACAAATTAGGATAATTAATAAATAAATAAAATAATGGTGCTTGTACAGCAAAAGTCACATATTGAGGACCAGTTGATTTTCTTCATTCTTCATTTGTGCTGCCTTGGGTTGAAAATCTGATTATAGAGCTGTTTTTGTTATAGCTTTGGTACTTTCAATACTATAAAATGTGCCATTTTTGTTTGTCATCACTTTGAAACATGTGGCTACTGAAAAAGTATCAAAGTGTGGTGCCTGTGTGTGTGTGGTCGATGATAGATTGCCTCGCCTGTGTGAAAGATAGATAATCATATCAAGATTAGTGAGGAGCTACTAACCTGAGATCAGGGATACAGTTGATGCTGAAAATAGATTGAGTAAATTTCTCAGCCTTCTATGTATTATAAAAATAAGACGGCCATTTAGTCTAGCCCAGGGAAGCCTATTTTTTTTTTTTTGTTCCTGATAGAATTATATTAGAGGAGGTTTACCCTTTACTATGCTCCTGCTTGAGATACCAGAAATATTAGATCTTAGACCAGCTATCTAATTTTTGAGAGGTGAGACACTCATCAGGTGTCATTTCACACAGTGTATAATTTATTTCTTTGGTAATGAACTACTTCTTACTCTATGCAAACCACTAAACCAATTTTGACTTTTAAAGGATGGAACAAGCGGGTGGATTATGAGCCAGGGACTGGAAGCAGGCAGCTGTTTCCCAAGATGCACCTGGAAACGTGCGGAGGTCCCCTGTCTGGCGTGAAGGCGATGGTAGAGCTGCAGACCAACCACATCGGGAAGGGCTGTGACCGTGAAACATACTCCGAGAAGTCTCTGCAAAAACTCTGTGGTAAGTAGATGAAAAGAAAACGAGAGAAAAAGTTGAATATATAATATTGAGTATTAAAAAAATGATGGATTGAAATGGCTTGTTGAAATAGTGAGCAACTAATAAGAGTTGAGGACTATGAGAGAGCAAAGGGTAGTAATAATAATGAGAAAATTTTAATTCAAATTCAAAATTACCTCTTGACATCTTAGCCTCCACAGTCTATTAGTGTGCCATTTTCCATGCCATTTTAATCCTGCAGAATGTTTTGAAATAATTTTTATTCAAAATTTTACACTGTGACATGTGATCATTATTGCTTTCCATTTATGTCCTGGATCATGGCTTTGCACTGTAAAATGCAGTATAGAGTACATGACATGAAAACTGATAGTTGACTGAAATTATAATTAACTGAAGAAAAATCAAAGTCTTTTGTGATGGGCACATTAATCATTTTCATTATTATCTTTTATTTATTTATTTATTTATTTTAGTCATTAGGTTTATGGATGTAAGTTGTTCATTATACTGTGTCTTCTGAATCAGTGAATCTCAAAACATATATGTTTGGTATGCTACAGTATAGGGTCCACACAAGTCTTATTTTGATATATATTAACCATTTCTAATCTCTCACTGATTTACAGTTACATTTGTTATATCGACAAACAACATTAGATCATGAACTCACATATGCTGACCTCTGGTACTCAGAGAAATCGCAAAGAAATAAAGAAAGTTGTGGAGAACAGTTTCTCACCAGGTTGATTGCAGCGATCTTGACAGTTTCGTATCTTCTGATTGGCACATCCAGGTGCAGCATCAGGCAGCACCGACCTCCTTCCTGCCCCCAGCCCTTCCACAAACTGGACCGCGTCTCTGCTGACTGATAGTGGCCGAGACAGCGACCTCATCTACACATTCGACGGGCGTCAGGCTGCTAATGTTCCAGATCACGTGGTGCCCCAAAACCTGACAGACCAGTTCACTATAGCAACATGGATGAAACATGGGCCCAGTCCAGGACTCAGAGCTGAGAAGGAAACCTTACTGTGTAACTCTGATAAGACTGGTGAGAAAACGATTTCACACATGCTCACTGTTCTACATTTCCACCATCTAGCATGTTGGAGAGTGAAAATTTAAAACAAAAAAAGATTTGACCTTTGATTTTCTTACATTTTAGCAACATTTCTGCTCGTACTTTAGGGTATTAAACTACTTGATTCTTACAACCCTTTTAATGAAACATTTAACACTTTGATTTCCTAGTGTCTTTAGAAACATACTATGAACATAACAGGATCAAAAATATCCTTTAAAAATAACAAGATAATTAAGCCTACAACCCACAATGGAAAATGCCCTTTGAAACTTTTTTCCCACTGCATGTCTGAACTGAGCTGCCTGAAGTGTGTAATTAAGCAAGCCATCTGCACATTGCACGCTCTCACAATGGTCTCACAGATGGCTTATTAGCTTAGGAAATATGTAGTCTGATCTTGTAATGCAAAACTGCAGAGTAGTTTGTGTTAGACCATCATAATCTTATAAACCCTTTTTTCATTTGCAACTTTTTGCTTAAGGTTCCAGTGTAAAGGCTAGATTAACAAAACTGTATGGAAAAATGACCATGTATTGTATCCGATCATGCCTCAGGCTGACGCTATAATTAGTATTATTACCAACTTGTTTCTTATAACATGTTCAAAACCCATAATCACATTTATCCGACTAATTCAAATGTTCTTTAGTACTTTTTTAGTTATTAAGGAGCTCACACTGTGACATATTGTGGTACAATTTAACACTGAATCATTTATTTAGATATGAGAATGGTGAACTCTGATATCCTGATATGAGACTTTTGACACAATACAAATGATAATACTGCTCATTACAAAAAACACAGAAATTGTCTTTAAAAGGCAAGCACTAGCTAATCACTAAGGAGTTTAATTGCCATCAGCCACCAGTCGAGAATGAAAAAATAGACATACCAGCAGCGTTCACTCTGTGATCACACTCACTAGACCCTTTCTGCCATGCTGACAGCTGTGTTTCGATGAGGGAACCCATTTATACGAGCTGAAAAGAGTTTAACACAGCTGTACTGTTTAAGACAGCTTTCTGAAAAAAACCAATAGCCTCCAAAAGAAAACTTAAGGAGTAGTGGTAACAGTGTATTGTCCTTAAGTAAGGGGGGCATATTCTTGTTGACCGATACACTGTATAATGTGGAACTATGTTTAAATGTTTGCACGTGTTTGTGTCTTTGTGTGATCATGTATGTCTGTGATCTTCCTGTTGCAGAAATGAACCGCCACCATTACTCTCTGTATGTTCACAACTGCCGCCTGGTGTTTCTGCTTAGAAGAGATTTCACTCAGGTCGACACTTTCAGACCCGCCGAGTTCCACTGGAAACTGGAGCAGGTGAAGTGTGTGTGTGTGTGTGTGTGTGTGTGTCTGTAAATGTGTGTGTGTAAATGTGTGCAAGCTTGTCTCTGTCCTGTTTGAGTGCGAGCATAGATTCAGGGTGATTTTCTACAGCAGGTGAAGGGCTATCATTATTTGTGTAGTGAAGGGAGAGGCTCTCCATTCTAATTACCGGAGGCCCTCCATCACTTTCTTCTGCTCGCTGCAGGAGATAAGAAGGTAGAAGACACCGTTATTCTACACACACATATACACACACACACACACACACAAGCATAGACCCAAATTGGAAAGTCTGTTTAGTTATGGATAATAGCTCACCTAGCAGCAGATATTTATTATCTGTCATGCTTCTGGAGAGTTGTTGAACTAATTTGCAGTGAAGCTCACGGTTTCAATCCTGTAGGAAGCCTTTGAAAAAAAAAAACGTGACACCATATGAAGTTACTTTAGCTAGAAAGATGCATATAATAAGATTTCCTTGCTGAACGTTGCACAGTGATTTTCCTACTGGAATTATCCTGCAGATGTATACATTTATTTTTACAGGCAGGTATTTTATCTAAATATAAAGATAGAAAAGTCCAAGTAACATCTTATTTTTTTCCACTCCCTTGAAGACATTACAATGCAGGGTCACCCAGTGACTGTGGCACTGGAAGGATTAAAGGTCTTGAGAATCATCGGACTGAAGGGCATCTAGTCCCTCCAGCTCAGCAGGCAGTCACTGAGCAGAGAAAATCCTACTGTAAACAGAAAATAAAATCCCTGGAGTCAAAATGATTTCCACGATAAGCCAATGAAGTCTCTTGCACGGGAATCTCCACTTTCCACTGACTCTCCCCCAGCTAATGGATGGTAGATGTAAATCTAATTTAATTGTTTACCCCTGCGATTCAGCATATATCCACCTCATACTGAAATTATTAGAAAATGCTTCATAATTACAGCAAGCTCTCCAGAGTTTTTGCTCACTAAGCTGATTATCAGAGATTTATATTTGAGTCTTTCTTTGTGAGTGAGCTTATGCTGTGTGACCATGCATCAGCATGTGTGTCTACTCTGAAGACTACTTATATTTTGGAATTTTAAGGGCAGGTTTGCATGGAAAATTACATACAAGTCTTACGTTTATTGTGTTATGCAGTCATTCCTTGTTTGCATGCAAACATCCAAGTGTGTTCTCTTGGCATTATCTTTGCTGGTACGCTGTGTACCTTCCAACCAGGTGGTTGTTTGTTTTAGGTCAGAGGTAGATTGAAAAGTTCTTCTCCACAGAGGTAGATGTGACAAAGAGAAGGGCAGTCAAAGTAGCAGGCTGCTGAGTTCTCTTAGCAAACAACCTCAAGACTCGGTTCTATTTCAGTCTCGTGTCTTCTCATTTTCTCTCTTTCTCTTATTATCTTTCCCTTGTTCTTTCTCTCTCTATCTCATACACACAAATACAGTAACATAGATAGCGGGGATCCAATTTGCTCCTTCGGTTTGATCTTGAGAAGGAGTATGGAGGAAGCATGCAGTGCAGTCAGAGAGAATATGTAATGAGTTACTCACCAGTACAAATCACTTGTGCAGAGACTGTCATTAAATAAAAATGGAAACTGGTCTGAAATACCAGAGGTTAACAAAAAAAATGACATCACACAGATACCGTGCAAGATAAGGGCAAGAATGGACAAAGCGAAGGAAAACAATAGTCCCAATAATCTCATAAATGGCTATTTCGTGGATCTGTGAGGTAATAATATGTTAATGATTTCCATCATTTTCAAAAAAAGAATTATTTGGCAAATGTCTGACTATGCACTTAACCAGGGGTTTTACATGCAAGAGGAGTACATTAAAGAGACTGGTTTTGTGTGAATTCCTATAGTTAAGAAAACATGTCTCTTCTTACTTCTGAGTGTAAGAAGAGACAACTGTTCTTTGAATCTGAAGAACTATCATCAAAACCTAATATGTGCCTAATATGTGCCTAATATGTGCCCTGAAGCAGAACACCGTATTTCAAAGAGAAGTAAGCACAGTGTCAGCAGCAGCCTTCTATGAATAAAATAATCTATTTGGATTTTTTGAAGATCCCAGAATACTTAGTGGGCTGTATAACTCAGGGTTTTTATAGTTTTTAATTATTCTTTTGTCTTAAATAGATGACCGTATAATGTGGTTTCTCTATTGTGATTTATAAAATCCATTATTTGCTTTTATCAACAAAAAGGACAAAATTACTCCTATTGCCAGAGTCAATAAAGTTTAGCACCTGTGCCTGCCAACATGTTATACGCAGTGGACATAAAATATAGTCAGTAAATGTTTAAGCTTTTTCTCTGCAGACATTTTGACATGTCATAGCAGCCATTCCATATAGATGACCTAGTTCCAGTTCCTGATGTTGTGAATGTTGGCTCATTGCAAAGGTACAGAGCCATTGTTAATGTAATTAGTTACACCTGTTTCCTGATATGACAAGTTAGGGGCATTTCACTGAGGGATTGTTAGTGCCATGGACTACATTATTTGTTCCATGTTCCATTGTTCCTTCCTTTTAATAAAAAAATAGTTTTTAAAAAATCATCTACATTTGATTTACAAGCATATTGTAGCACAACAGTCTAAAGCTAAAAAGCTTTGTAGATACAACAATTATAATCTTGTTTATATGTAATTACTTTTTAGGCCTCTCTTGAGATCTTGATCTTAATGAGACATCCTGAATAAATAAAACTTAAGTAACAAACTAAATGGCTAGAAAATAAAAGTGAGTGTATCATATCTAATGTTAGTGGTATACTTTATTTCCACACATTTCTTACTTCCTCACACCTTTTGTGCTTTTTCCTTTTATGTAACACATTGTCTTACTTACTATTTGAAATACATATTAATGTGTTCTTGTTCAGTATCTTTGTTGAACTAAGGAGCAGCTACAGTGCCTTGTGGTGAATTATGAGGACAAACTCAGAGAGAAGTAAAGACTGTTGAAAAGGGAGTGTGGTGGATTGAGGGAAGAAGAGGAAGAGGTGGCTGTGGGGTGTCACAGCTGCTTCTTACTGTCCTTGTTCCTCCAGCACTTAGAAAGGACACTCAATGGCTTCCACAGCAACTCCATTTAGCTCTATTGATTTTGCAATTCTCACCCCAAGAGAGGAAGGGCAGAGAGGGATGAAAGGAAGCTGGCAAAGAGAGAGTGAGAGAGAAAGAAGCTTCCATTTTACATGTCGATCGAACACATTGAAGGAATGTCACATCTGACAGAAACCTTTACACACGCATCTGCAAGAACTGACCTGTTTGTGAGTGTACATGAGTGAGTAATTGAACACAACCATGCACACACACACACACACACACACACACACACAGAGGATGTCTATTCTCTTTTTCAGCCTGGGTAATGGACTAGAGGATGGATCACTCCTCTCTACGTACATTATTCACTCTCCCTGAGTCTGGAGAGGCTATCAGTTCAATCCAGGTGTTCAAAGGGTTTTCACTCACAGTCGAAAGGTCTTCAAATCCACTCATCTAATGTCCTGTAAGCCAAGGATGGTAGGAATGTGTCAACCATGCAAACAAAGCCACACTCAGGAAAGGGAAACCTACAAAGTCACTAAACAAAAATGAAGCCATTAAAGAAGAAGCCATTTTTTTCTGTCTGGGCCTTTTTGTGCTATACCTACAGTTCACTTTTGAACAGTTTGCCCAGCTTAGCAAGATCAAGCAAAAACGAATGTGCAGTGTGTGTGTGTGTATGTGTGTGTTTGTGTGTGTGTGTGTGAGAGAGATGTGGCATTGATTTGAATCCTTACAAAAGAGGTTTTATTTACTCACAGCAGGGCCCTTATAGATAGAGTAGGAAAAATCTATGTTAACAGAAGGGTGAGAGTTGAGACAAATACACAGTATTTTTCTCAGCCGAGGCCTGATATTTTAAAAAAGATAAGTCAATCGGCCAAAGATTTATTTGTTTTGGCAGCTGTTTCACATTTCACAAGTGATACGTTATCAGAGATAACGTATCACTTGTTGTGATTCACAGATAAAATTTCCAAATTCACCAATTACACTGCTCGAAACAGCTGCAGATCGCCTGCTATTCATCATTTATGTCTAAGTTCGATTATACGGACTGAATGTTGGAGTAGTACAAAATCACCCACATTGCTTGTCTACACAGCATCTACAATTATCTGCCTGCTATTACCATGTGTGTTGTGCCATGGCTTGTTCTCTGTCCTGTGTTGATTAGAAGCCCCCCTTTGTTTCTGAGGAGATTAATTGGATGGTGTTGGTGGTGGTGTGTGCATGTGAAAGTGCATGTTTGTTGTAGATACCAGAGGAGATTGAAGTTCCTATTCAGAGTTATTTAGGTGAATCTCTACACGAGAGAGACTGAGTGATAAATGCTACAGTTCAGTTATTTGTATGCGTGCAATGCTCATAATGTTAAGGATGCAGCTAGCAGTATAGCAGTGCACATTAGAGTATGTTTTTAAAGGTTACAGCAGAGAGTATCAATGAGACCGCAGGAGGGACAAGTTTGTACAGGTGAAAAGTAATCTTGTAATAAAATCTCCTTGAAGTGATCTGTTTTTTGTTGTAAAAAAGGCTCAAACAAATCCATATCGTCTTTCAGTCTGCATCATGTGTTCTCTGGCCTTGCTGTGTATATTTGCTTTTCTGTATTAATATTTGCTATGAATCACTCTAATTTTGCAAGTCATCCTATTACAAGGACTCAGTATGCTGCATAGTTTAGTATAAAAGAGCACAAGCTGGCAGTGATGAAGCACACATTTTTGTGCTTTTCAGTAAGTGCAAAACAGAAAAAGACAGAGAGCAACAGAGAAGATATTGAGCATTGCCTCTAGCGTATACATTTTCCGTGTGTGTGTGTGTGTGTTTATTTTATTCCTGGCTTTTATTTTTCAAATGAACTCATTTGAGAGCTCAGCTGTACTTTTGTTTCCTTTAGGCACTTCCTGTGTTATTCCTAC